CACTTACCGTACATAAAAAAATTCGAATGGTATTTATTGGTGAAGCAAATATCATGCGCTGCCATCGACCAACGTATTTTGAAGGTATTACATACATATTTTACTGGAAGCACACCTGTAAAATGAGAGTTTTTATTTTTTATTTTATTGAATATTTGGATGTATTTAACTATATTTTATTTAATTAATTGATAATTGTTAATGCTCACAGCTTACCCCATAATCCCGGATCATCGAAGCATGAGTGATGATTTGAAACTGTTACTAACGGCACACCAGCTGGACGTTTCTCTATCAAGTTTATCAGTCTATCTTTGTTGTACACGATTGTTTTGTTCATACACACTGCAAAAAAATACATAGGGAATTGTGTTATATTTAAGAAAACTTAATTAGCATTTTAAAAACGATATTTATGTTCGCGAAAGTAGTATTTTTCGGCGACTTAATACCAGGGTTGGGCACGCTGTACTAAATCGAGGATTTCACTCCCACTATATGGTTAGTGGAAGTGCATTTTAAATTTGACTACCACTCTATGGTTAGTGGTAGTGCATTTCGAATTTCACTACCGCTATATGGTTAGTGGTAGTGCATTTCAATTTCACTACCACTATATGGTTAGTGATAGTGCATTTCAAATTTCACTAGCACTACATAGTGAATTTCACTATCACTGCCTGGTTAGCGGTAAGGGAACGAAAATTTCACTATCACTGACTAACTACACTGGTTTACAAATTTAGGAAAATTTGGCGATCTGTGATTTTAATACCCATTTCCTTACAACAGGTTTGTTCAAAAATTTATAGCCGCTAACCATGTAGTGGTAGTGAAATGCATTTCCACTAAGTGCATAGTGGTAGTGAAACCAGTTTGTCACTACCACTTTGCACTTAGTGCTACTGCATTTCAAATTTCACTACCACTACACAAATAGTGGTAATGAAATGCTCAGTGCATTAAATATTTAGTGCAGCGTGCCCAACCCTGCTTAATACTAGTAATAGAAAGAATCGAGTACTTTTGAGAATTGGCTCTACTTTAGGCTGCCAGACGTCCTAGGTTTTCTACGATTTGTCCTGATTTAAACAAATTGTCCTGTGTCCTGGTCCACATTAATTTGCCCTGGTTTTTTAATGAAGGTCAATGCAGACACCCATCTAGTTTTTAGCAGATTCTTGTTTTGAAAAAAAAGCATTAGCAGTCGAAAATCGATAATGAAACATTTTTTCCTAACATGTTGAACAATATCTGGTGAGTTTACCTTCTTTACTTGGGGTAAAATCTAATTTTGTATCTTCAGGCGTATGCTAAAAAAGTGGGGGTCACACATATCACGCAGTGGATAATTTCAGGAGTTAAAATCTCTTCCAAAAGGCCTTACGGAAAGTCATTTCTTTCTCCTTCCTTTTTTTGTACAGAGTGGCACAAAATGAAGGGCATCTGCTTTCGCTACTCAAAGAAAAGCTTCCAGAAGGGCTTTTGTAGGACGTATTCTGAAAGCCTTTTGAAGAAGTTCTTTTAATGCTGTTTTTTTGTTCATAAAAAACATACTTCTTTAAGGAATTTAAATCTTCGCAAATATGTTTTATTGAGACTTAAAATACTGATTGAATCCCATTTGTAATCTATTGTAAGTGCATTGTAAATTGTAAACAGGAAACCCCTTTCTAGGAAGCATGCATTTTTTCAGTATTTTTTGGGTAAGTCTTTTGGAATGGCTTCACTTCAGACAGCCTATCTAAATTATCTTTGTTATGCATATACAAAATGGTAAAAATGATCATGAAGCGCATTGTAGGATATGTGGAAATTGGCTAACGGTGGTAAGGCAAGCATTTAAGACCACGTTAAAAGCACCAAACATTTTTCCAAGTTATGTCAACGCTTTATGAACAGAACTTGAGCGTTTCATCATCATCAATCACTCAGCTCTACGGATTGTGCCACAAAACTACATTGCTTATAATCAGGGCCGAAAAGTTTAAGCTCTTTCTTGGAATAGCTTATTTTGCTTATTCAGGGTTTACAAGCTTAATCATGCTTATTTTGCTTATTTCAATGTATAAAGCTAAGTACGGACCATTTAAGAAAACGATCAAGAAATAAATGGCTTTTATTTCGTGTGTGTGAATAGTAGTGTCAGAGGAGCTTTGACCTCTGATATACTTTTTTTTGATCTCTCACTTTCTTATTTCTGTTGAAAACAAGAGTGCCTTCACAAACAAACTTTAGCAAACCATAGTAGAAAGCTTAGAAAATTTCTTAAGAACTTTGTACTGCTTAAGAAAGTTTGGCTCAATAAATTTTTCTTGACCATTTCTTGGTGTTTTTTCATTCGTCGAACTAAAGAAATGTTTTCAACTATTAACATAAAAACAGATTTGATTTTTATTAACTTCTGCTTGGATACAAAAAATTAAAACCAATGGTTCGTCTCTGTGGGAAGACATTGGAGTTATTGAAGGAATTAAAAATAATTTATGTATCGCAAATGGAAAATAACGAATATTTAAAAAGAAATTAAAACGACCAGCGCAGAGATCCATTATTTGAGAATTTCAAGCAACACTTGTGTGTCCATTGTAATTTTTAAAGCCTTGAAATAAACTGAATAAAAAAACAAAACATTAAACTGTAGTTCATTTATGTTGTTTTGCAAGCATATTTGCAAGCATATTTATCAATGTTTCAGTGCTTATCGAAGCGCTAAAATACTTCAAAATAATGCAATGCCAGAACCAAAGAAACTGTATTTATAGGGAATAAGTGTCCTGGTCGAAGGGTTAGGGATTATGGCAGCCCTACTCTACTTCGACATCGATATATTAAGGATCGCTTTCACTATAACTGTAGTCTGTTTTCTGTGCCCATTTCAAATAATAATCGATTTAAAAAAAATCGAACTGTTGCAGCAAGTGTTGTATTCAGCACAGGCTTGTGAATATAATATTCAGTTTTTGTAAAAGTATTTTGAAATATATTTCACAAATAAAATTAATTTGAGATATGAAGGTGTGGTTGTTCTCCGAATTCATTTTAAACTTTGGCTTAGTGCGACTACACCACTCTGTAACTGTCAAAATCTACTAATCACTACAAATGCACCGAACGTGTGATTTGGCCCTTAGGCAAATAATGAGATTCTAAAGCAATCACTGCACTTTTTTATACAATTAGAATACTGTTTTACTTAGAAAAAATATACACAAGATGTAGTTAAAACTTTAGTAGTACACTGAGGGAAAAAAATATTAAAATCAAATGGAAACGTAATTGATCTTACTATAAACGTCAACGAAAGTACTGTATATTGGTAAATATTCAATGCAATTATGCGCATATTAAAATGACCGCGTTCGTACTGAAAAAGCATCCGTAAAGTGAATAATCAAGACAAAAACTAAAAAAAAAAATTTAATTTGCATGCAGTGGAATTCGAACCCGACCATCTCCGGATATCAGCAAGTTGTGGCAAGCATCTTTGCGCACTCAGCTACACCCAGGCATATAAATTTGCCTTCAACTGTTGAATATCCATCAACACCACAGCTCACGATTTGTACGGATAAACATGTACTATGTATGTGTGTGTGTTGTCACCGCTCTCAGAGAGGCGCTCTGCATGCTTGGGGTGCGTATGTACACTTACATATACATACTGAGATGTGAACAGTCAAATATTATTTTTAAATACGAACATTTTTAAACGATAATCAAATATAAAGTATTCATTTTTACTACGCATTATTTCCCTCAGTGTACATATCGTCACTACACACAAATAAAGGCGCGCTAGTGTTTTGACGGCGAAAACGGGCGCGTAAAAGAATTTTGCGAAAAAAGATGCTTATGAAAAACTTCGGCGAAGAATGTTAAGAGTCTTTGACGCTAAAGTTTTTTCATGCGTCTTTTTCGCCGTCAACTTTTGAGCTCGCGTCTTTATTCGTGTCTAGTGACGATATATGAAATATTTAGAAAATGTTAATAAATTCCAAAGAAAGAAATTCTAACAGCTGCACTCAGAAACATTTATTAAATTAGCTCTAATGAGCACTTAACTAATAATCGTTAAATCTGTTTATTAATGTTTCCTCTAAGAGTTAAAGGGTGTGGGTTCAGTAGTTAATGAAAAATTTAATAAAATGGCTACAGTTGCGTCTTTTTTGTGGCATCACTCACTGTTCGCTTTTAGTTTGAAATCAAATATAAAAGTAAATATGTATGGGCCATTTTCTCAGTCATTATTTAACTAATAAGAAACATTTGTTTCTAAACTAATGGATGTACTTACATTAATGTGCCTAAGTAATTATTAAACGACTCTGAGTGCGGCAGTGAAAGTCTTATATGTATTAATTTTAACAAATTTACGAAATACTCATACGTACGCTAAAAAACTGTTTGTTTACTGAAATTTTATTTAATGGCTTTGACAGCTGTTATCTCAACTTCGAAATTTCTATGTAAAATACCGTTCACCCAAAATCGTTCCACTTCCATTTCGGGTGAAAGAAATTGTTCACGGTTTTGCTAATTCTATGTACATTAGGGTGCCTCACAAGCAAAAGTTGCGTTTTTTTACCGGAATTATAAAATATACTAGCAGACCTGGCGAACTTCGGCCCGACCAAAATTAGTTTTTTTATTGAAACATTTGGTCCCACTTGTTCACCAACAATTCACGTTGACGTTTGGTTTTATGGTCCTCAGGAGGCATATCCTCCATTACCGTCTTAATGGACCTAATGAAAGCGTTATGTCCGTGAAGAAGTTCTTGCGGCAACAATGATCGGGTTCGATGGTGCATTGTCCTAATCATTATAGTATAGTTGATGACAATTTCAAAATGAGGTAGTATCATTGGTCCACAGAAATCCAACATACATACACAGACTTATTTCAGACAAAATACCTTAAATAACTTACAATTGTATTTGTAGGCATTTATCAAGAATTGTCTTTATTCTGTTTAGTAGCCGTAAAGCAAGGACCGCAATGGTTCTGGTAGTTGATTTAACAGTGGTAATTTGACTTTGATCCCTGGCGTCTCCGAATGACTTCACTTGACGATTTTTACTAGTAACGTGACTTCAGCGCCACCTTGCAGCTCTTTTTTTTTGCAATAGGCAAACTTTATAGCAATCGTAAGTTTTTTAAGCCATTTCAATGCCTTCTCATCTCTTCCAATGCCTTTCTATACCCTTCACTGCCTTCCTTTCCCTTCCAATGCCTTCGTATCCCATCCAATGCGTTCCTATCACTACAATGCCTTCGTATCCCTTTCAATCCGTTCCTTTCCCTTCCAATGCCTTCTCATCCCTTCCAATGC